TCATAAAATGAGGCTAGAAATTACTACTTCAAATATTACCCGTGTCTTTAAAGCTTGCGTAGAGCAATAGTTTTGTCGGTGAACGTTATAATTGTTATTATACCCCGAGATTGGCCGTATAATTGCAATTAATTTAAATTTGGAGTCTCTGAACAATTTCAGGTATAGAAATCCGATAAATTATCCTTGTTTAATACGGAAAAAATCTTAAATTAACTTCGTCCAAGCTAACGAACGGCCAGTAATTGCCAGCTACCCATTTAATGTATTGAGTTAATAACCTTGCTTGCTTAATAATACCTACACAATTCAAATAATAGTGCAAATACAATGCAAAATATCTACGACATTGCAAAACATAACATCAGTGACACACTTTTTTCGTAGAAGAATGTTTATGTTTGCTTGATTATTGTGATAAGGCACTCGCCAAGTTAAAAAGTTTTCTCACAATTTTTTGCAATAAAAATTTCAATGAACAATATAGCACTTGGAAATCGAAATTTTTACTAAACAAATGTCACACAAAATTGTGGATAAAATTATTTTCCTCAAATCTTTTTGTAATTTTACTGAGTAATATTTACTAATGATCTGCAGAATTATTTTTTCGAGGAAATATAATTTATAAATGATACCTACAGGAAATGAACGCATGAAATTCAAAAATATTTAAAAAAAAAAAAACAATTAAAAAAATTATTTTTTAAAACTCTTTGGTAACATACTTCTAAGATTAACAATACAAAAAAAAAGATCGTAAATTTTATCGCGTTTTACGACGCATAAAATAACAATTTCTACATTTAAAATTAACTAAATGCCTGTGTATTTTATTTAAACTAAACCTACTTATCAGCATTTGTGCTACTTTAAATGTTGCCAGACGTACTCACTCAAAGCATGAAACCCTCAAAAACAACAATTTAAACATGTAAGTATATACGTAGGTAATATAATAATTTAGTAATATATTAAAAAATTCCAAATAATGCAAATTATTCTCCTTGTATTAGCTACACTCCAACAAATCGAGAAACTTCCACCAGTATATTTGGTGACTTATTAATTTCATAATGGGATTTCTTAGGTACAAGAAGACAACGTAAATATCAAGCTCATTATTTATTGTTATAAAAAACGTTATTAAAATTTTCTACAAATTCCTTTTCCTTTAAACAAAAAACTTATTTTCAAATTAATTCATCGTGAATTTGGAACCAAAATCAGAGTCCCACCTGAAAATTTTGCCTGTTTAGAGTTCATGTACTTTTGAAAAATTTCTCTATTTTTGTACCAAATTATAGAGAAATTCCAAGAAATTATAAATATACGAGGAATTACGGTGCATAGACTCTTGGCATCTGCGGTTTACCACTAGGTATGAATTAATAACTGGATCGTATTAGTTTCAATTTTATATTATACTTAGCAATATATATTATCTATTAATTCATTCACATTTTCAGTCATCTTAATACAAATAAAAAGGGAGTTCAATAAACTCGCAGAAATTGTGACAGACTTCAATAATTTAATCCTACATCGATCGACTACTTACATTGTGCGAGAAAAAATGCAACCCCATTATCCGCGACTACTGGGGAAAAGACCCTTCCAGGGTTTTATGCACCGCCATAAAGAACATCATTTTATAGAATAGGGAAACTGCAAATCATTTCCTTTTTGAGTAAGATGAAATAAAATACATTTTTGTGGAAAACGCCAGTGAGTCCAGCGTATCGTATCATTAAATACAGGATGATTTTTTTTTTCAAAGAAACTCCTCTTTTTTTTCCTACTAAAAATGTTGTTATTTAATTTTTCAAAGAATCTTCCACAGGCATCTGTAATACTTTTTATAAAACTTCTGGTTGGCTTCTTCAGGATGATTTAGGTTAATGAAACTTAACTCGAAACATAACAAGTTATGTTCACTAATAAAAGCAATAATAGAGGTATAAAAACTCCCCCGATTTTTTCAAATATAAAAAGGTATTTCTTTTGCAAATTTGGCACTATAGCTTGGATTCAGCCGTTACGTTGCAATTTTCATATAACGGAAAAACGCAAAAAAATATATTTAAAAAAATAAGTGATTAAACTACATAAAATAAACATAAAATTAATAAATTAATGCATTGACAAAAAAAATTAGATAAATCGCTCTTTAAAAAATAAAACATCAACCAGGTTAATTAAAGATTCTTGCGACTTACTCGCTCCCTATACAGGGTGTCCCAAAATTAGAAGTTAATATTTTAACCACGTATTCTGTGACCCAAAATAAAGATAAAAGTTCATATAAACTAGGGCCCAAAACGTATTAGTTTTTAACATACAAGAGGTGATTGCGATTTTTTGCAAATATTTTCAAAACATGTAAACATTTTTAAATAAAATTTGGTACAGTAACTAGACTTTTTAGGCTCTATTTAACGAACTAAAACTTAGAATTGGATTGTCTTCAGGGGTGGGTAACACAGGGGAGGCGTGGGGAAAATTTGCCCCAAATTTTTTGTTTGTCAAATTTTCGTAATTTGGACTGCAGAATTTGAAAATCTGAATTTTTCTACGTTAATAAGGTACCCTTGTCCCACCTCGCTAGAACACACCGTTTTCGAGAAAAACGCTTTTGAAAGTTTAATTACAAATCATTTTTTTATTTTAATGTTTACAATCGAAGTGCAGATAATCATTAATAAACCTTCGAAGTTAATGACGCGTTTCATTTGTTTCTGTTGCTGGGTAAATAAAAATTAAATGTCAATTATTCGACACCTTTAAATTTTGTTCATTGTTGGTAAAACATAGTTTTTACTTGGATTGTTCTTATAAATCCTTTTATTAATGAAAGACAAATCAAACTAATAATAATAAAAGGATTTATAAGAACAAACCAAGTAAAAAATAAATCTAAAAAATCTAATTTCGGGACACCCTGTATAACGTGAATAAATGTATCACTGAAAAAGCAATATATATAAGATTGCAAAAGTTCTTTGCCTAACTCGCAGCATAGTTTCCAAAAAAAAAAAAATCTTTCAACTGAAAAAGCAACAGAACTAGTGCAATATATTACGATAAAATTGATGAAAAGGAGACGGTTACTGGAATTTGCTTCGACCTCTCCCAAGCGTTCGTTAAGTTAAATCCCGCCTTAAAAAAAACACTAGACCTTCTTGGAGTTAGGGGAACAATGAACGAATGTCATACGTAACACAGAGGGAGCTCGTCATTGTGACGTTACGACCATCTTAATCCCGAGGAAAACTTCTTAAGAAATCAATAGAAAAATTGAAAAAGCTATACAAAAATTTCAGACCTATTGCATAAAAAACCACCTTATATTAAACGCTGAAAAAAAAAAGTTATTTAAACTAATAATTTATATGTACGAAAATAATGAACAAAAATAATGAAAACTTTCAAATAAGATCTGATATTCATTCTTACTAGACAAGAAGTAAAAATAACTTCCAGTTGAAAACAATTAATAACTATTGCTATAAAAAATTACCGTTTCATTCCGGGCAAACACACTATAATATGTTTCCTGGTGAAACTAGAGACATAGAGCAGAAGAAATTCAAAAAAAAAAAAAAAGTTTGTATTCCATGATACAATTGGGCTCTTTGCTTATTGCTCTTTTTCAAGTAAAATTATGTATTTGTTTTATTTAACATTTTCATGTTTTTAAATTTTAAAAATATTTAGACATATTGCGATTTTTTGCTGACGAACCTTTCCTTTGTCATATTGATTTTAGTAAATAAATGACTACTCTACTCCACTATACCCAACCAAGTTTCACAGAACTCATAGCGAATAAAGATATACAGAGCGTCGCCCATCAGAACTGACAAATTTTGTCAAAATTTAATTGCAAATCAAGGTGCCCTAAGTTTTACGTTGATACAAAGAGTACTCGTTTATTTTCAATGGCAGCTAAACAAAATTAATGTTGCTTTAACTTCGAAATTTGTTCATGAAACTTTTGGTGGTGAAGGCGAATTTGATGCTTAATGCGGGGGAAAAAAATTAAGATCCGTTAAAAATCTGAAACATATTCAAATGTTACGGCTACGATTGTTGTTGTTAATGGGATAGCTGCGATAACACTTCTTTAAATCTGTTGTAATACCCACAATAAAGGACTTCTTTTTTATAAGTAAATAAGGTTTATGGATGTTAAAAGTATAAGGGATTGGACAGTATTTGGAAATTTTATCATCTGTTAGCGTTGTAAGCGTTTTACTGTCGCGCTAACTCGGGACGATAAAGTTTCACAACACCCAAATGCTTTTAAAAACTACCCCGCACCTATACGACCGTGAAACGGAAATAAACAAATAAAATGTTTTAATCTCTAAACAATAAAATTGCAAGGAGATAACAATTTCTATTTTTAGTCGTACAAAACAACATAATAAAATGTTTACTTCGGTATCCAGAGTCATATGGAAAAATAGCACGCATTTGCATAGAAAACAATAATAACAATCAACGAAAAACCAAACACTCATACCACTGAAATATATACGTAACCTCGGTGAGCGTAATTATTGTATTTTCAGTACTGACTCATTAGCTCAAATAATTCGAAAATGTAGATTTAAAACGACAGGTGCGAGAAGTTATTTTTACCAACATAGACGAGTGCAATATTGATATTAAAAAACACTTGGAAATAATTTCATTCGCACAAGATCTCCAAAACCGTGTCAGGAAAATAAAAGGAAAAATGCAGGCAAAATTGCAAGAAGACAATAGCCGACGTGTGAGATATACTATGAAATTTTCCAACAAAGCAAGGTCGGTCGGCTTTGTTTACAATTGTTTATATCTGCGGTAAGACGAGCCTGTAATCACCCAACTCGTGTGTAATTTATGTTTATTTCCTATACACAGGCAAAATCGACAGCTTTTGCCGGTCTTGGTAATTTACAAAATAATTACAGAAAAGTACGTTGGTATGCATATAATGTGCGTGTACTTACAATTCCCAGACGTATGAATGGCCTTGACGGCCTTCTTCATTTTGTTCAGCCCATCTCTATCGTAATCGAGAGTCTGCAACGAGAAGAACATTGGTTTTAGATAATGAAAGACATTTATCCGGTCATTCCGATACTCATTTCGGAAAAATCCAATTAATGCAGAACGCAAAAAAAATTAAACCAGTCAATTTAATCTTCGATATTGCTTTCATCGTCACTTAAATAATAACGTTACGGTAGACCAGATCTCGCAGCACCAGATGAAATCACATTCGGCCAAACGAAATCAAAAGTTGAATTCGAACTTGACCACCAGCACCAAAGCATATAACCCAATATAGCCGATATGAAATCACAGAAAGTTCTAACTAAAACTAAACGACTTAAACTCTTAAAAATAAATAGATAATTTATTTAGTTACTGAATACAAAATTAAAATTCGTTTTCCTAAAATGTAAAGCAATCTAAAGTGTAGCTTGACCTAAAAGTTACCCTTTCATCTCTAACCTAAAGTTAATTGGTATAAGGTACTTGCGAGGTTATTTGTTAAGCAGTTTGGATATTACGTATTGGTCTATTCGAAAGTTATAAAGAGATAAATAAATTGCACCCTGTAAGATATATAGCCGATTATATATGGTATTCTATCTCACTTGCGGATGTCAAATTTTATGCACGTAGTTATTTTCTGAAAAAAATAATACTGTGAATTTATTTTATTTTCTGTAGGATTAAAAGCACCTTCTTGGTCACTTAAAGCGAAACAAAAGCATAAACCTGTTCCAAAAAAATACTTAACCCGTAATTACGGTTTCTATTCCCTAAGAGATTTTACAGTAAGGTTACTTAGGACTGCTTGTACCTATAATGTAATATTTTCCTTTTATCTTTTAAATATTTTTTTATGATAGTGTAGTTGCTTTAGTGTAGATGTGGCAACGTTGCAACCGATAAAATGTGAGACAAGTTTTACGCGTAGCGATTTTCTCGAAAAACATTATTATTAATTAATGTTTTTTTTATAGATTTCTTGTAGGGGACGTATCTGCAGGAAAATATGTCACCTAAAAGGAATTCAAAGCATAAATTTGTTTGCTAATGCTTAATTACACTTTACAGCATTCCCCAAGAGAATTTGCAGTAATGTTACTTAGGATCGCTGGTACCTAAATTGTTATTTCATTATTGTTTTCCTTTCATCTTTTACACATTTTTATTTTCTTAAAGGCCTTTTATGATAATAGTACAGTTGGCTTAGTATAGATCTGGCAACGCTGAAAATTTGTGAAAAGTTTCCTTATAAGAAATAATGGTTGTGTTGTGCTTGCTCGACGGTTTAATGCCCCAAATCTGAGATTTTGCGGAACACAGCTGCAAAATTCTGCCAAATATTTACCACGCTGTGGGGAAATACGGGAAATATTTGTGTAAATATGAGAGTGTGGTTAATGCCTCGTTCTAGTCTACTCATTCGCATCCATATTGCGTAATAATTAATTTCAGCATTGTGCGAATTGGAAAATTAGGTTTTTAAACTTTTTTTAAAATTTAAACAATGATAAATCAAATTGGTGCAATCCAACCATTACATTGATTTAAAAGGCGAGTTTATTGCTGTCCTCAATGAAATGATACGTACGTAGAAGCAAGGAATTCGACTTTCTTTTCGAAAAATTTAACCTACATTACGTAAAGTTTAACTGAACAGACCCGGCAATATGGACGACGGCTCTCCTTTCTATTTCCGGGATAAACGCTAACGACTTGGGACTCAACGTAATTCAAATTAATGAAAATGAATATTTTGTTGAGTGTTCCATGATTCGAAAGCAAAATGCGTGTAATATCGATAGGTGCATAAGGATGACTGTAAGAAAAATTCAATAACTTAGGAAACAAGGTTTGAACTTTGCAAAAATCAACATTGATCAGTTGGTATAAATGTTAAATAGAAGAAAACTTCGCCTTAGTGGTAATTTCTGGTCATTAGTGGTAATTGGTGATGCCATGTTAGGCATTAAATTTCAAAATTGGATGCAGAGCATTGGACATGAAATATGTCTAGAACTTCGCGTAGAATCGAAACAAGCAATGGCGCCCATTAAAAAGAACATGTTTAAACAAAAAACATCGTTTTCAATGCACAATTCTCTTGAGCGGACATTTCTTCCTGGCCCCAACTTAGTATCTCCGCTCAAAAGAGATTTACCGTAGTTAGTAATGTAATCGCAAGCGACAAAGGCTATTTTAGAAACCCATTCGGTTACCAACAAACCGCGGCAGTAAAATATTAATGTTTCCTGTCGATTTCCTGAGTGAGTAATATTTTTACACCCAGGAAATTAACAACGCTGTTACGCGTACCTATTTCACCGTTTTTTGAGAAAAATCCGCACGTCTTGACAGGCTTCCGGTTTACCGCGGTCCGATGATTTTTTAATAAACCGTCCTGGATCTATAGAAATTTCAATTGGGAATTTTACATCGCGTGAATACCACAACACCGGGAATGGTATGTCTTACTTTTGGTATTTATGGTATTTTTACACTTCCTGATTCCGGCCGGTCTAGTCATTATCACTTTCTATTTTTAAAAAGAGGATGTAACGTCGACAAAGATAATCGAAATTACGTATGAAAAATACGCATGCACGCGATAATTTAAATAATTCATGTGTATTGGTGCCGCGCCAAACGCAGTGCAACTACGCGTTATACAGGCTGTCCATTCGGCTTTTAAAATGTCACCAAACTATAATAATAAACATCAAAGTAAAATATTTTTATGATGACGTATGCAGCAATAAGGTTTATTTTAAATAATTGTTATTATTGTATAATTATTTCATGCATAATTCCAAAAATAACCAAGTGCCAAAGAATATCTGAAACTTTTTTTCCAGCTTGTCTTCTAAATTTTACACTAAACTAAATTCCTTTGTGGAAAAATGCATCTTTCATAAATTTTATGTACCGTGTCTATTCCGAATATTTTGTCGACTACCAAAGATCGGCAATAAGTGAAAAAATGTTTCGGAGTATACAATACATAGTTTTAAGATTATCAATGGTAAAAAAATGGTATTCTCATTTTAATTTGGAGTATTACTTCTTGATTAAGACATTACTAAATACATAACTAACCACAACATTTAACTCAATTACTTAAAATTCAGTATAGGTTAAATTTGCAGATATTCCTCAGTGTCCAGTGAGATGAAAATTGACATTAAATATAAAATAAGGCCAACTACGATCAATTACAGAACATAAGAATCGATTAGAATTACATGAAACAATAAAAACTATTTAAAATAACCTAGTTAACAGTTACTGCCGCTATAATTATAACTTCGGCTAGTTAATGAACTGCTTTGATATAATTTAATTGAAAAAACTAATCATTTTGACTTATATTCAATAGGAAATATCATAATTAACTTCTCAAAGCTTCCGTTACATGTACTTAAATTTCGTTAACTTTTAACGCAGTTTATGAACTATTCAATAATACATCGATGCCGTCGACAGTGAAACACCCTGTATTGAATGAACTCGGCAAATGAAAGGTCTCCCGAAACAGAAGCCAAGCCCGTTTAAAGTGGTGTGCGAGGAATACGAAATGCTTGAAAATTTATAATGCAAATTTAAAATATCCATAATACAACAACGGTTGTGGTTCTTCGTTGAAAGTTGAACGCAAAACTTCTTGGACTGGGAGTTAAAAATACAAGAATCGGTGATGTCATTCAAGGTCGAATCAAGGCTCTCTGTGATTTTATGCAACAAAATAAATTTTAATAAATGCAAGCCAATAGCACTAAATTAAAAACCTTATTAAATATGTAAAAGGCTGCATCCACAAGTAGGCAGGTGCTTAAAAACTACATACCCTATTAACATAAAAATCGCTAAACAAATCCATCGAAGATCAAACAAAATAGTCGCTTCGACAAATATTCGTGTATCCTTTCCGAAAAACATGTTTTTTTTTTTTAATTTTCAAAAATGTATCTAAAGTCAAGGATAAAAACTGCCTACAAAAGCTAAAATAAGAAATCTATTTTTAATGTTCTAATTCATTAATATTGTGGGCTCGCATTTGAACTCAATAATTAACTTTCAGGTGTCAAAATTGTATTACATTTTGTAATTCAACTGATGTACCCCACACACTCCACGATGCAATTAATTAGTTAAAAGTTGAGACATTTGAACAATTTAAAAGCAAAAAGCTCTTAACTACAGCAGCTCAAACACCAAATGTAAAACTATAGGCGACAGACCTACAAGAAAGATTAAACTCAAATAAAAGCCTTAAGTGTAAGGAAGGTTTACACAATAAAATAATTTGGGGCCTTTATAAAATCGGGCATAAGAGTAGATAAACAAACCAAACTTAACGGTGATATATCAATAAATTAATATTTCCCAATACGCATTGAAGTCAACACACCTAATCGTTCTTATCTAATAGATAATATTCTCAAATTTCTTCAACATACCTACAGCAAAAAGCTAGACTAGGGTGATATACCGGAAACTCATTAAAATTTGGTTTGCCCTGCATCATCATCCCAATAATTAGACAATCGTTACCTACCTCTTCAAGTGCTGCGATGGTATTTCGACATTGATGCATCCGGGAAACGAAAGTTGATGTGATGGGAGAGTTATAGTCATCCCTAGTTTCGTCAACAAATTCAGAAACTCCGATTATTGTAGGCATGATGTATGCTAAACTACGTCAAAAATTACACTATTCAAATGGCATTCGCCTTAGAGAAACAGCACACTTGATCATCACAACACCAGCGTCTTTGGATGCCGTGTAAAATTCTTAATAAACCACACTCGAAAAAACTCTATTATTAATAAAATGCATTGTTTCCGTGAATTTGGATAGTTTGTAACACATTCATGTATACCAACAGTTTCCTAAGAACTGAAACTACTGAAAGTTAGTAAACAGAGAAAGAGAACAAACCAACACAAGCAGTCGCATCTAGGGACTTTTTTGTTCGCTAGAGCTGGAACTTTTATTTTTTCCAATGAACAATTATAATCAAATCTAAGTGATTTTTTCGCTATCTTAGCCTCGTTTTGACAATCGCGCACGAATTAAAATTGTGGTTTGTTTTGACTGTTCAATTAAACATGAGCACTTGCATTAACCCAATAAGCTTTACGAAGATTGGCTAAACTGGAAAACGCAAAGCGTTTCCTATACCTAAATTTAATGTAACTGATGCCGCTGACGCCAGATGGCACACTATTTTTGTAAGGATGTGTTTTTATAACTTTCTATTTGAGGGGTTATTTTCCACAAAATTAGTTTTATTTTCATAAATCATTATAGCATAGAAACAGGGTTTATTTGTCTAAAGCAATCTTTTTTTTTTCATGACAAAACTGTTAGTCATGTGAATTATCGTTCATGTGATACAGACGATAGTGATATGTCTGATATTTGCAAAGGTGATATTTTGTTATACATAATTATTTTTTGTAATGGCATATTCTTTCAGACCTAAGGAAAATATGGAGCAGACTTTTTGATCACAAAGCATTTTTAAACGGAGAAACAGATTTTATTTTAAAAGAGTTTGAGGTAGGGAAAGATTTTGAGGTTATGTGAAATTTTTGTTCCTTAATTTGTCTTATTTTCAGCTAAAACGAGGTGATCAGGAAGTTGACAGTTTATTTCGGACTCTTGAAAACATTGCGGAAATTAAAGATAGTCAGATAGATCAGTTGAAGGAAGCTAATGTAAGACTGTGGGAAACAAATCAAAACTTGAGGGAAGCAGTGAATTTAACAAAAAAACTTAACGAATTGGAGGACCTATATAAACAGGTGCCTACTATTTTAGCATAATAAAATATATTAAGGTACCAAAATAAATTCATTTACAGAACTCCTTGGTAGAAGAAGAACAAAATAAAAGAAAATTATTATGGGACAAGTTTATGGATGAAATAACATCTGAATATTCAAAGGTGAACAGAGAATTTGAAGAACAGGAGATTGAAACTTTAAAATTTTATGAAGATTTAAAAAAGAAGCTTGTAATACAGACTTAAGTAATGGCTGTTAACATTGGCCAAATTGTGAATCCTCTAGTCTATATTAATCCTTCCAAGAAATTGCAAAGTTATATTAGGGACATCAAAATATCGCCTGATATCCCCAATGGCTTGAAGAACTTTGTATTTAAGAATAAATTGAAATATGAAGGATCCACAAAGCTGTCAAAACTGGAATATTTGACTACTGATGCAGACAGAAAGTTCATTAAATCTCTGGTTGTAAGTTTTGAAGGGTCTAACTCAACTATTATACCACCAGTATCAAAGAAGTTGAACTCATCTGATAAATTACTTAGTTTGCATGATTTGCATTGGCTCTACAGTTACATTAAAAATGAAAACAAGTGTGGTGGCCAAAAAGTATATTTACATGAACTTCTGGAGGGATCAGATGTTATTTTGCCGAAAAACCAAGAAATACCTAGAAGCGAGGAGCTTGACAAGAGATGCAAACGCTTAAAGGCTGAACAGGACACAAAGGAATATCAAAAAATGACTAAAAATGTAGACAACTCTAGAAAAAGACTTCCCGAAGACACAATTGGCTATCAAAGTAAATAATACTCAATTAGAAGATAAATTTAAAAATATAGGTACACCTTTGTTTTAGTACGGCAACTCAACAAACAGCTGATTGCAATTTTTCAATTCATACTATCGGTGGTGGCTGGATTTGCTTTTGGTTTCATAGGAGTCGAACTTCTAATTGGAAACTTAGATTTTGGTTTCCGTCTACTGCTAGGTATAATTTGTGCCCTAGTTATTGCTCTAGCAGAGTTGTATTTCTTGGCGAAGAAGCTGAATGAAGATTTACAATATGAGCAAATAGCGTCTCAAGGAAATAAAAATATAAAAGTAGATTAAATTCAGTTTTGTATTTTATATAGGTTAAAATCATTTTCTTAATATTTAAGTTCTATGCAATCAATATATTTAGACTTATTTTAATTAGTTATCCATTTTTGCTGTGAATATTTGTTGGCATATTGTCTAAAATAAGTATCTGTTACAAATGTTGGAATATATTGTTCGTTTCTAAATAGCAGTTTTACTAGCAAATATGTGATATCTAACATAAATGAATTTTTTGGCAAAATTTTTAAAAAATCGTTTATTATCCTTGAGCATCTATGAAAAAATTCAAAATTTGATAAGGCCTATTTCCCTCGCAAGAGTCAAAGTTTGCCACAGGGTTTTTTAAATAAGCTTAATTTGCTTAACGGATATTTTTGATTTTTTATTAGTTTTCATGTGCGTTTAACCGCGACCAGATAATCTCTCATCCAGTCAAAGTATAAAGACACAGTGTGTCCCATAAATAAACCATCCAATTTAAACAGGATTTGTACGTTTTAATTGGTAGTAAACAAAAAATATTTGACGTTTATATAATGAGTCACACTGCTCGCACTTTCAAGTCACGTGAAATTTTGAGCTGGTTTTCTGATGTTTAGGTGTGAAGTTTTTTTAGAAAAGGAGGTCTAGCTGTAGATGTGCTTTATAAAATAATAAGGCACGGCTGAAATAAAGCCTGGGTTGTATATAATCCCAGTGCAATTTGCTAATTTAAAGTTGTTTACTGAAAATAGAAAAACTGCTACATCGAAATTTATATTTGCAAAGTCCTATACTAACTATGTAATGGCCGAAACAAACTTGTTTAAAAAGACAATATATTAGAAAAAAATCTATCGAAAATTGTATTTGCATCTTCTTCTTCGAGAGAAGTGAGCCAACAAGCACCTTAAGTATCTTAACAGAACATGTTTAGAAAAAACACTGAGTCGTGTAACTTTCGTAGGGTTCTGCTAATAATAAATGTACGAGTCGTCACATCTTTTGATTGTCCTTTTTTATTTGATGGTGCAATTTATTATTTGCACCTTTAAATAATAATGAAACAAAATTTTGAAAACCGCAACGATAAGTTATATAACTGATTAACACATTTTTTACATTTCTTTTATAAAGAAAGTATGATTTCTCTTTATCGATCCGTCTTGTCGACGAAATCACGTGTTAAAAGAAACTATACCAAATAGTTTGGTAAAAGAGACCGCACGATCAAAATAAAAAATTATTAGCTTGAAGACTTCTTTAACTAAATGGCTGTGGTAACTTGCGTTATGGTTACGGAATTTGGTTCGTTACGGGAAATAATTGAAATAATCGATTATTTATGTACGATTTTTTATTTAATCGCTTTCGTTTGTATTATGTCACAGCTGGTAAAGGAACGTAAATGAAATTCGACATACATAACAATTTATTTACAACAAATTAAAAAAAAACGTGAAGAGTTTTACATCCTCGACATCCAAAAAACCTCTTCTTCCGCCCACAGGGGTGCCAGTAGAGCCACCAAGCGTTTAAATTTTAGTTCTATTGGCTAATTTCTGAATCAGTCTTGTTAGCCGAGCAAAATTGTCATTTTTTTGCCTATATTCAGTTATGATGGCCTGAAGAAGTTAAATATTTGCACCAGCCAAGGTATGCGCAGTAGCCATCCTAGAGGATATAAACTACAATTATCCTAGGACGGTAATTTCGAAGTTACAGTGCTTTTAGTTTTGTTAAGTTGTTAGTGAATCTACTAAGAACATTCGACCGTTGGATTTCTAGCTTGGTTTTTAAAATCCTACTGCTTCTGTCATAAAAAAATAACGAAAATCCAAAAGTCAAGTTCCCAAGAACTGCTCGTTTCCCCAATTAGTGCGGTTTTTGATAACAAATTTAAATAATTTTAATGATAATAATGATACGTGTGAGTTCCTTACAAATTATATGAGTGGAGCAAATATTTAAAGTAAATAAATTTTTAACGGTTGAGACGATTCTTTGTGATGACCTGCAATTAAAATTTGCGTCAGATTTTTGCGCTTTTTACTTAGCAAAAATAGCGTCAGTTGTTAACTTTTTTTTAATTTGTTAATAACATTGTTAAAGGGTTTCTAGCGAAGCTAAGTTTGAGGTTCGTTCAGCTTTGTTATAGAAAAACAAATTGTCCCAGAGTTCACATCAAAATACTTGTTAATTTTTATTGAGTTTATTTAAACAAAACGTATAAAAACAATAAATTTAACCCTACAGACGCTTGTTATCGTTCGTAATTGAAGCGGTTATAAAAATCACGCTCAACGTGCTGAGCAGAATGTTTTCCTTTACCTCCTCCGCCGGATTTTCCACCGCCAGCACCACCAGCAGATCCACCCCCACCGTTACCCTTCCCTCCACCATTTCCTCCATTACCACCGCCATTACCTTTGGGCTGCTGTGGTGGAGGTGGTGGGGGAGGTAGCTGAGCGGCTTTGGCCAATCCTGCCGCGGCCTTAGCTGCAGCTGCGGCCGCGTTCGCTGCTGCCACTTGAGCAGCGGCTTGAGCCTTCTGAGCAGCCGTTCTAGTGGCTTCGAAGTCGATTCTAACACTCTTCAACTGCTGACCTATTTGGTCTAATCGCTGTAGCGCTGAACCCACCATAGCTTGTTGGGCAGCCAATTCTCCAGCAGCTTCGGAAGCGGCCTGAGTCACATGGTCGGCTGCAGCTTGAGCTGCGTTTAATGTTTGTTGGAGTACATTGACGTGAGCTCTAGCTTCTTGAGCGGCGCGGTTGGTAGAGTCTGCGGCACGTTGAGCCTGCATGAGCTGCTGTTGTTCACCCATGAGCCCTTGTTGAGCGTCTCGAAACTGCTGTTCGAGCCCTTGAAGGATAATTTGTTTCCCTGCTAATGCAGCTTGGGCGGTAGCTGAGGCCTATTAAAAATAAACCCTTAATGGGAGATTCTGCTGCTAGATCAGTTTATAGAACTCACATTCGTTAAATTATAGGACTTCTAACTAAACTAAAAAACTAAAGTATAGAATTTATGGTTTAACCATAAGATCATAATAATTATATAAGAGGTTGTGCTGTTTATTCCTTAAAAATATATCTTCAATCGGAAAACATGCGGTTTAATTTAGCGAACAAATAAATAATAAGCGCGCAAGAATGAGACAGCATTTTGCGATATTTACGAGGTTTAACACTAAATGCTATTTATTTCCAAAATTGCAACGTAACTAATATGTGTATCAAGAGAAAGGTCTAAGAAAAAAATTTCTAGTCCTGGAGCTAACGAAATTGTTACTGTCACATTCGTTACTTCACGTTCCTCAGATGATCTTGCGAAATGTATTGATAAAATAGATTTTACGCTTATTAAGAGAGCGGATTGCGCCGAAAAAGAGAAATAGACAAATTGAAACGGTGGCTGCTCCCAGTTTTTTTCTTTGAAAAAATAGATTGCATAAATGTTACACGATAACTAAATGGTCTATAATAGTAAGAAATTGATTATTTAAATACTTCCGATGTTTATTCGTGATTTCTTTAAAATTATAGAATCTTTTTGCTGGCTTATATGTTGATGTAAATTTTAACGTTGAAATGTTCAAAACTGGAACTGGAAAAGGTCGGTTTTGAAATGGAGCAAATTTAAACCGCATATGCATTGGATTTTTTGCATTAAAATATTCTACTTTGTCTTATCTTTGTTTTGTAGTTTCAACATGAAAATTTCTTGGCAAAGAATTTTTCTGTATTAAGAAAAAATGGATTTTTTTCTTCAATAAAAAGGTTTTACATTTAAAAGAAACTTAAATACAGAAGTCTCTTTTAGCGATTTAATGACTAAAATTAGGATTGTGGATGTTATACTGTTATTTCAATAGGGACAACTTCTTAATCGCATGGACATCATCTACTAGCGCCTAAAAACGACTCCTCTATCATCATAAATTCTGGACTAATTAAAAATTTCTTCTATTTTATATAAATTTCATTTTTTAAAGCAATCTTATGTTCTTGTTAGTACTAATTTCAGGCCGTGTTAAATGTTACAACATATAACAGACCAGCTATTAGTTTTTCCTAAAACATAATTTAAAGTCTTCAGAAATTTAGTACGCACATTGAGGCGGATCTCATTCAAAATGAGTAAGATCACGTCAAGTGGATCCCCCATTTACCACTTGATCATAAAAATTTAATCTATATATATTTTTTATAAGTATTTATGATGAAAAATTGATCCCCCACCCGAATTTTTTAAATTTTGATTTTAACAACATTTTTTTGTATAATGAAAATTTTAAGCGCTTTTAATTAAAAAATGGATTAAAAATCAACCGTAAGAGATAAATTTATGACATTTTCAGCATCCATGGTCAGAATATATTAACTACTTAAAATTATTTATTTATTTTCTATTAACTAACTTTTAAGTTAACAAATGAAAATTTAACTGATTTCTTGGTAAAAAAAATTATGTTTTCTTTATCGGTCACATGCTTTATCCATTTAAGTTTAAATATTATTATAAAACAAATTTTATTATTATTTATGTTATTTTATTAAAATTATTATTAATTAAGTTTTATTTTTTTTAATAATGTTATAAAGAATACTATCAAATTTTTTTTATTATTTTTAGCAAGCAGCGTAAATTTAGAAAAAAATAATCAACTTTAAATTTTTAAAACTGTTATGCTCTATATTTATTTTTTCTAGGTAATTTAGCAAATTATTATTTTTAAATTTACTAGTCAACACTCCATCTTTAGTTAACAAAACAAAAACGTCTCTGTTACGATTTTCATTTGTTCTTCGCGTATTCTAGTAAATAACAAAATCATTTTAAAAGTCATGAAAATGCATGAAATAATTATTAAAAATAAAAGCTGTAGTGTTGTTGAGTTGTGTTTTTTTTAGTTAATATTTTAGTATTATAATTTTTAATTGTAATAATAATATTTTCTGTGATTTAAAATGGGCCGAGCGAATTATGAAATTATGCGATTATAAAATTTATTTTAATTATTATTTAAATATAATTTTGCCAATTTAGTTAATCATAAAAATGATTTTCGTGTTGATGCTAATTGGATTTTTTCGCTACATCTCATGGCAAAGGAGCGTGTGATGGCTTAGCAGGGAGTGTAAAAAGACAAGCTTATCGTGCTAGTCTCCAACGTGATAACAATAACCACATAACAACCCCACTTTTCTTTTTCAGTAGGCCCAAAGTTCTTTAAAAAAAAATACCAACCACGATTCGAACGCTTAACTACAATAAAGAATACTCGCCAATTTCATTATTACAAACCATTGGAAAATTTTTCACTAGAATGCAGGCTCGTTTCAGAGGATGAAAAAGTATTTATTCAAACAAAAAATTAAAAAAAAACTGACGACAAATTTACAGTTTAATTATTTAAGCTTGTTTGTTCTATTCAGTATGTTATGATTGTTAATATTGTTAAAAAAAATAGATTTTTTTTTAATAATTATTATAATAAAATAACATAAATATAATAAAATTTCTTTTATAATAATATTTTGTATTATTATTTTAAATTATCACTGATAAAGCCTTCAATGCAGTTCGAGACGCTCGGCAGCGCGGCGCTTCCACAGCGCTCAGCGCCCGGTGCGCTGTCATAAATAAATTCAGTCTGTTGAAACTAATGACGAGCAGTGAAATTTTCCGTCATAAGTACTTATAAAAAATAGATTAATTTTTTATGATCGATTGGTAAATGGGGGGTCCACTTGTCGTGATCTTACTCAAATGGGTTTTTCAGTGCTGTTGGGTGATACGAATATCAAGGTCCTTTCTGCTTTTGCCAAAAAACGAGAGAATAGACGATAATAGGGCTTTGTATAAGTGCCCACCTAAAAGTAAGGACCTTAAGGGCTTCGATGGGGGTTGGAAGGAGAGAATTGAAAAAAAAAGAAAAATTATGTTTTTGCAACAGATAAGTGGAAATCAAAACCAACCACAGGTATTGCCAATTTTGCAAAACAAAACTGTAAAAATTGCTTACTCCTGCTGCAGATTGGGCCAAGGTATTTTTTGCAACATAAGCCGCCTGATAACCGGCAGCATCCTGATTGTTGACGGCATCATTTGCGGTATTGGATGATCCTTCTGCTATACTCCTCAAACTGCTTCCAACACTGAGACCTTGCTTTTTATTGCCGCCTCCTGCTGAACCAGATTGTCCGCCGCCGCCATTACCGCTTCCGCCCCCATTACCTCCGTTGCCCGAATGAGAATCAGACGAATATTCGATGTCAAAGTTGGTCAAAACGCTTAAGTCATCGTATTCTTGCGTATAGGAGGACGGTACCACTAGAAATTGGGCTACGAATTAATTTGTATTTTTCGGCGATTTGTTTATAATTCAAAATATTCTTGGAGATTTTCATGGCTAAAATGGCGCCGGGCGTATCATGAAAACATCTCGATACTTCGAAAATTCTAATAAAAATGTTATGAACTTACGTGTAGATGTTACAACCAGTAACAAGATTAATATCATCTTTACTAGCTGAAACGATAAAAATCCTTAAATAACCACCATTTTTAACGCACAAACACTTGTATAATAGCACTGATGATGCACCTACCAAAGAAACACAGTATCCTAAATCTAAAGCTCGCTAAATCTATTGAGGTACTGGTAGCAAATTGACAAATTCTCTATTTTATACAAACTAATTTGGGTGGGATACAGACAGTCCAGTCAAACGCGATCTGAACACATTCTACAAAAAGAGAGAAACTGTGCAACGCTTTATTTTTAAAGTTTTTAGGAAGTGCACAGACTTAAACTACTCAAGAATCGAATTGATTCAGTCTATATATTTTTTGTCAATCAGCACTGTGCGGTTTTGATTTAAGAATTTCACTTTAGTGTAAAATGCCTTCAATTTATTTATTCAGTAGTCTGAGTATACGACTCGCTGTTTAACAAATTTATATAATTGGAAAATTTAACGCTCCAATTTTTATATTTCAAAATTTAACGAAAAATGTTTTTTTTCTCTTACGTTGGAAACACAGCATCGTAGTCTCTGCATAATTGTGGTTCAAAAAATAAAAAAAATCATAAGAATCCAAACACTATATTAGATTTAATTATTTTTTGCTTATTTAACAATTTGTCCTTTCGACCGAACAAAACTTTAAAGTTTAAAAAAACATATTTATCGAAAATTCTAAAATGTATTTAAAATAGAAATCGAGTTTTCAATTCTCAATTTCAGACAAATGCTGCTACTACGAGAATGTCATAACTTTTTTCACACCCTATATTTATGTTTAAAACAAATGTAGTAAACATTATTATAACAAATTATCCCCTATTAGAATATATAGTTATTACGCAAATAAATGTGATATAATCTAAACTTGGATTTGAAATGAATGACTTCACCATACTTGGTTTAGAACGGACCGAGAACTAGAGAACTCCAGTATGTAATATTTTTACACATATTACAACTGCGGCATTTTACATACATTATGAAAGTTTCTTTTCTATGGCGATTGGCTATTTAAAATCTTTTTGGCTATTTCCTTGTTTGTTATTTTTTGCATCAGTGATACTCCACTTCTAAGAAAATCCATCTCTGTCGCTTCCAGACTTCTTCTGTTACGTTTTCTTAGTTCAAAGAAAGGGGAACATCTCCAGAGGAATGCATAACATAAATTCGGAAGGAAATAGAAAGTAGAGTAATAGAAGAACAAGATCTCAGAAAGCTGTAAAAAAATCGCTTATAGATGAAATTGAGAATTTTTATTAACATTTGACATAAGTCTTGACGTGATTTTTCTTCGCCCTTAATGGCTCTTAAGATAGATAGCAAAAATTAATTTCAAGTAGTTGGTACCCTAAACGAGACTATATAACGAGACTAGCTGACGATTAGTGAACTCAAATAATTTCATTTAACCACAATTTTTTTTATACCAATTACGTCCCTTTTGCTTTGCGTTTATACGAACAAAACATAAATATTGGAAGCCACAGCGTCTAATTATCAATAGAAAAATGCTGCGAGAAGAGAAGTGAAATTTATTAGGATTCACATCGTGCTTTGTGGTTCCCCGTGTCGGCGACATAATATGGACAACGTAGCCCGTAACATTTTCAAAACCATTGCAGAATGATAAATGTAAAACAAAAGGTGGAAAGAAAAAAATTAAATCTGGACAAGTCGTATTTCCAAATAGTATTTCTTTTGATAGTCATTTTTTAAATTTTCTTTAAAATTTGTTTTTATATTACAATTAGCTCACTTGTTTTATTCACTTATGATTTATACACCTTCAATTTAATAGAACAAGATGAAGTTAAAATTTGACAATAAATAAAAGAGAAAGAAAGAGTAAGAAAATTTCGAGAAATAAATTACTAATTACCTATTTAATTGTTTTATTATTCGAGCCTTATTACTAGTCATTCAAAAATTTAGGGTACCTACCAATTGCATGAAAAAATATGTTTTCCCAAAATTTATTTAATTACGTGTTATTATTCAATTAATTAAAAATTAAATTAAAAACGATATCAAGATGCAAAAGATGAATGTTGCAAAGATATCAGATAGTTCTTTTTCTTTAATTTATTTTAAGGGTAAACATTGCTGTTAGATAGAAATGAAATTGAAAACGGTTGAAGTTGGATTTTACTTGATGAAAATACATTTAACACGTTAAAAAAGAACACAGAGTTGTTCACAAAATATGTTTATTTACTCTATGATAGCAGTTTCAACACCATGTTCTAATAAAACGCATTTTGAGGATAATGTTGAATGTTCTTCTTAGAAGCTATGAAGATTAACAGAGATAATAATATTAATAATAATAATAATAGTAATAATAATAATAATACTAACAGTCTTTATTTTCCAAATCGACAAATACAAAGTTTGTATAGGAAATTGTCAATTGTGAAAACCTGAGAATCTTTAATTTTTTTAATATTACGCTCAAGTTGAATATTATTGTGTTTTCTCACTCTAATAGATACTTTTGCTTCCACGCTCCTAGTAATTTTTGTTATATTTTCAAAACCAACAATTGGTAAAAGTTTTTCTGCCTATTCCTTACTAGCCTATTACCTACCTCGTAACTTTTCATATATTTTCTGTTGTTAAAACAAATATTTAAGTTCCATACATGATTTTTTATTGTTACATATATAAAATTCAAATGTATTGCTTAATGATAAAGTAGATTTCAATAATTCACTTTTATTAAACGTAATACCTGGAATAACAGTAACTGACATTAAGGGTTGATGGGTAGGGCTATTATGTATAACATCAGGTAGCGTTAAATGGTTAGTTGATAAAGACACGGTGTTGTCGAAGTTTCTGTCATTGAGTAAAAAAATACGTTCTCGTGAAAATCTGGATTGTGTTTTCTTATTTAACACATTTATTACCGTTTATAAGAGTTAGAATATGCGTTATTGCAGCCGAATTTAACGCGAATAAATCCATTGAGAATCGTTAAGAAGAACGCGATAAACCCGGAAAATTGTTATTTGTTTCTGATTGGTAGCAGGAATTCGTGACGTAGGTGTCCACCGTTTGTGATTTGAACGCAGGTGTCTGCATATATAGAGAATAAACTTGCACTTCAGACTCTATACACGTCCAGAGTTTTTGAAATGCTCTATTGGAGAGATATTCTTTTGAGCTTTTGTGTTACATCTGGTGTTGTAGTGATCTCAGTTTTAGTTTATTTTTACAGTAAAGGTAAGGCGGTAATTAAAACACCAAATAAAATGCTCCCGGTCCTGTAATGTTACGGCTCCCGATAAATAGCATTTAACGTTCGAAATATAAAAAAAAGGTACAAGACTTTGGTAAAAATAAATTTAAATACCAAGAATTTCTGCAGCGATAATTGATTTAATATTCAATTAATTACCATCGACGCTCGTAGAACAGATAGTGCGCATCAAAGCTAATTCGTTTCAAACGATATCTTGAGACTGATGTACGACGATAACGACAGTAGTTTTATTTTGCAATTTTGTTTGAAATCGTTATTTCTTTCTGTTACCATTTTGTTATAAATATATCATTTAGCTTTTGGAAGATAAGATAACGCATGGAAACTTATTTCGCAGGTTTGACAATTTATCCCAAGGCAAATTGCCAATACATTCAGTCTAGTAAATGAGTTCTCAAAAGATTTATTGGGGTAATATACCTTTTTATACAGAGGGGAAAGGTATTAAATATATTTATGTGTGCTTACTTACTCAGTATTTGATTTGAAAACCGAACTATTGTATTTGATGTAACTTTATGCGTGAAATGTATCAGTTAAACTCAAATAGATTTACTTTAATTTAATTCAAAAAATATGAATTTTGATGTACGCTTAAATTTATAAAAAACCTGTGTTTGAAGCAAATCAGTTTTTAGCTCATTTAGTGAAATATTTCATAATACAACATCTGATTGACTTATTGAGTTCACCCATATAATATTAACTTTAAATATTAAAGGGCACAGGATTTAGAAAAAAAAATAAATTTCCCTATTTTATATTAATTCAAATAATTGTATTCAATTTTGCTTAATACAGTATTTGAAGTTGGAAAATTTGGAGTCGACATTTTACATGTCTTGAACAAATTGTTCGAATACTCCTTCCTCATTCATGGATGTTATAAAATAAAATTGGTAAAGGTCCTCCTCAAACTGGAAATTTATTCTAATACCATGACGAAGAAGAAAACGTTGTCTCTCATCCCTAAAATCAAAATAATTTCCAAAGTTTAATATTGAGAAAAATGGTGAATAGTTCCGTCACTTACATCCTGATTATAAGGCGCCCCGAGGCATTGTAAACCCTTCGGATTAGTTCGGAATAGTCATTTCTAGACCAGATCTTGGGTAGAGGAATAAGGAGCCCGCCGCTCATTTCTGTCTTAATTTTCGAAAATCGCCGGCAGCAAGTTTAATTTTATGGATTATTCCAATCGACCAGTAGGGAAAAATAACAACCCTACAGAATGCTAATAACGACCGAAGAAAAGTTGAAACTTGTTTGAACTAATGGGTACAGAGAACAAGGTGAAAATTAGGAACACATGTAGCTACCAGAAAAATTTTCATTCGTTTCAGTTGACTTTGGAAATTTTGCGTAAAATTGGAATTTTTCCATTTTGATTTTCCAGAACTCGATTTTAAAGCAAGTAGTAAAAAGTACCGTAACGCTTAAATATCTCCAAAATACAAAATCTGGGACGATAAAGTTCAATACCTGGTAGTTTTTGTAGGAGCAATATTCAAAAAAAGATTTACCACATCATATTTTTTTTATTTTAAATGGAATGCCTTATTTACGTTTGCTGCAATGAATTTCAAAGGGTCTCAATGGAAAATTACCTGGATTATAAATATTATCTCGAAATCTGACAACATTGCTGTTTGCATTTTTGAATTCTCGTTTTGAATTTTATCATTCCAGCTTTGTGGCGTTGCCGTAGCTTAGTAATTAATAGAAACAAAAA